TTCACCTTGTTGCGCTTCGTCTCGACATGTCTTAGCCAAAGACCGTGACTTGTACTTTGGATCCAGATTGAACAATCGCTACTGCACTCGTTAATTGCTAATCCCTTGTCATATTGTGTGCCTACCCATAGCTCCACATATTCTTCTCGTCAAGACAGTTCATCTTGCAACCTCTACCCACGCTCCACAAATGCATTGCTTCACCACTTTGGTTTTGCTCCTATTTGGCGTTGGTAAGAATACAGGCAAGACGGTGGTAAGCCGCTTGTGATTTTGCATTCCACTTTCACCACCACCACCACTTGTTTCCTTTTAGTTGATAGGGATAATACTTTGGTGTTGTCTTTTTCTATCTTCTAACCATGGCAGGAACTCCAACGGACTTCAATGAGTGCGTGTCCAAGGGCGAGCTTGCAACGTTCATGACTGAACAACGCAATCTTATGACCGAGTGACGTAATAGCGTGAACAATCTGGTCAACCGCATTGAACAGATTGAGCAACGCCCCGCCTTTATCATCTTTGATGATGAAGATGCGGATGCTTTTGGTGATGAAGATGCGTATGCTGACGGTGGTGCCCGTCGCCGCCTCAACTTCAATCGTCGCGGCATGGGAGGTAATAATCATGGTAATAATGATCCTTTTGCTAAAATTAAATTTAGTCTACCTCCTTTTGCTGGTAATGTTGATCCAGAGGCATATTTAGATTGGGAGCTTGCTGTTCAACAAAAATTTGATTCTCATAATGTTCCTCCTGAGCATAGAGTTAGACTTGCTACTAGTGAGTTTACTAATTTTGCTTTGTTACGGTGGAGTGATCTTTGCAATGCTAATAATCTCGCTTCTTTGTGCCTCAAACTTGGAATGTTTTAAAGCAACGTATGAAATCTCGTTTTGTTCCTCCTTATTACCAACGTGATTTACGTTTGAAACTACAAACTTTAAAACAAGGTGATAAAGGGTAGAAGCATACTATCAAGAATTGCTTATTGGTTTAGCACGTTGTGGTATAAATGAAGATGATCTTTGATGCTAGTGCTAGATTTTTGGTGGTTTAAACCATGATATACGTAACATACTTGATTACAAAGAATGGCATAATTTTTCCCAATTGTATCATCTTGCTATTAAGGCGAGAACGAGAAGTACAGGGACTTAAACAACACCAGCCTTTCGGGTCTCACAATGGGAGGAATTTTCAGCAGCGTCCGAGCCGGAGGCGACCAAGCTTCCTGTTGCACCACATCCATCTACACCTCCATTTTCTTACGGGGTAAGTAAATTGTCTAATGTGCAGTTTCCACGTGTGAAGAAAGGTGCCACTCCGGTGCTTCTACTAGCTCCTCCTCGTCCAGCTCTAAAATCATTTGCCACCGATGCAAAGGCATGGGACATGTCATGAAGGATTGCCCCAGTCGTCGGCGCTTTCATTGCTACCGACGATGGATATGTAAGTGCTAGTGATGTTGAAGATGATTTAGCCCTTGTCGCTAACATTGATGCGAGATCCCACCGAGGGCGATCAAGACAAGGAGGCCATCATCATTGACTCGTCAGGCTGCCGCCATGGACTATCCTATGCAGCGTGTGTTGAGTAATACGTGTGGGACATGAAGAAGAGATGAAGATCCAACGCCAATTTGTTCCACATGTATCTCATTGTGCAGGGTTGTCGTGTTCTCACTATCATTGATGGCGGAGTTGCAACAACTTGGTGAGTTCAGATTTGGTTGACAAGCTTGGCTTGACCACACGACAACATTCGTATCCATATAAACTTCAATGGTTCAATAATAGTGGTAAGACTAAGGTAACTAAATCAGCACGCATTAGCTTTTTTTCACGTGCTCTTATCATGATATTGCTGATTTTGATGTTGTCCCTATGCAAGCTTGTTCCATTTTGTTAGGTCGACCATGGAATTTGATAATGATGCTTTACACCATGGTAGAACTAATACATACACTATCATACATAAGGACAAGAAAATTACATTGCTGCCTTTGTCTCCTACGGATATTATTAAACATGCTAATGAGATTAAAATAAACCTCAGACATTGCTAAAAATAATGGGATTAAGTTAAAAGGAGGTGCTTTTCTTGCTACAACTCCTGCCATCTGCTGAGTTAGTTATGTCATAATCTGATGCACCATGTTATACTATGTTTTGTCAACCTTTTATGTACGGTGCATTGCCTGCTGTCACTAATCTTTTGCGGGAGTATACGATGATGGGATGGAGTCGAGGGCGACTCCAATTCTACAAGGAGGGGATGATGAGGACATCGCCAAGATGGAGTCGAGGACGACTCCAATTCGAGAAGGGAGGATGATGAGGACATCGCCACGCTGGACACACCGACGCCATGGTCTTCCCCAAGTTGCAATTCGTTTCCAACTCAGGTGCCACGTCACCCTCGGATTCAGCAGACACGCCGCCACCTTTTCGGTCATAACTTCCTCATACAACGCCGAAACGGGCCGTTCTTGGATGCGTTGGAAAGGGGACGACGACGCCGTCGTTTTGGATCTGGTCCCAGCTCCAGAAGGTCCGTGGATCATTCTGTGTGACCACGGCAAGGTGCTGCGTCACCTATTTGGGCCAACTTGGCCATGTATATGTCGGGCCTTAAGCCCAAGTTGTGGGCGCCCAACCCCTGGCCGTCCCCAACCCTAGGTCGAGTCTTAGACTATAAACACAGCCGTCGCCGCTGCTACACAATTGGGTTTTGTTTAGAGTTTAGTTTTCCATCGAGAAACCGAATCGTTCATTGTAATTTGTGGTGACAAATCCTTTTACAAGTGATCCGGGGCCCCGTTCTTGATCTCCTCCATCGTGTCGATTAGTCCTTTGGAACCGAAGTTCTTGAACCTTCTATTGATATTCGCGTCATTCATATTTGCAATATCAGATTGCGTGTTTTACCTTCTTGCTTGTGCTCTTCGATTCGCTGCGGGAAAAGCCTTCTTGGCGAGGTCAATCAAGTTGTGCTTGGTTGATAACCAACGGAGATGAAGGTGTAACGGTTGCAGGGGTTGAATCGCGTCTGATTTGAAGCCGGATCGCCAACGTCGAGATCTCCACATATCGAACTTACCGGCTACCTCTCGGAAGATCGGGCCTGTACTCATCACCATCTGCACCCCTGCTGCGACTACCAAGTCGTCGCTGCCCACCCCGCAACCTGCGCGTTCCATGTTGGCGCCACATAGAGCCCCTCCAAGCCCATGGCTAGGGCTGGATAACGAGCCAAATCGGCTCGACTCGTTCTGGCTCGTTAAGATAAGGAGCTAGTTTGACCAGAAAGCTAGCTCGGCTCGTTTACGAGCTCGAGCTGGCTCGTCAAGTTTGCGAGCCAGATATGAAAAAGTACACAAAACATAATATTTGTATTTATCTAAAGCTTGATAATAGTAATAATACAAAAGTAATATATCCAACAGCCTTAAATCGAACAAAAAATTAACTTGTGCTAACATATATACAAGTATAATAATATATCAATATACTATAGCATTACACCACACATCCATAGTCCATACTCCCTATCATACATAATGCGTCCATGAGTACCATGCATCCGTTAAAAACAAAATGATAAAAGTCATAATAATTCCAAGTTTGTCTAGATCCGTCATCAACCAATTGTAAAGTGTAAGATAGGAAGTAATACAAAATCAATATAAGTTATGCCGTTTTTTTCTTGAAAGCGTGGCTTGTTTGGCTCGTGAGTAGCTCGTTATCATAATGAGCCAAGCCAACCACAAGCCGAGCAAGCTAACGAGCTTCGAGTTTTACATCCAGCCGTATCCACGGCCATGTTTGACTGTTTGTGGTTTTTTTGTTTAGATTTTCTCAAATTTCATTTAAATTATAGTGGATACCGGTCTGAATTTTCTAAATTTCGTCTATTTGGGCGTGCGCTCCGAAATTTTTCCCCAAAAAAGTCCCAGAACCTTGATCCATAGCATGCGGAACACATTCTGTGCCGTCTTATATTTTTGTAAAATCTATCGTGTACTATATATACTAGAGGCTTCCGTAGTGACGTGGCCAAATCAAGGAGAAAGAAAATCGATCAGCAAAGCAGATGTGGATTCCGCTGTGCCCTGTCGGAGCCAAAAGCACTGGCCACGCTGCAACGAGGTCGCGCACTACCAAACGGTCAAATGATGCTGTTGACAAAAGCTCTAAATGAAGCCCTGAAACCGCAGTAAATATTTTACCGAGGTAAAATGCCCGTTTTCTTTCCATTTGCAGCCGCGCCTCTGGCAAACATTAACAACATTTTACAATGCACGAGTAATCGGGTGTTCAGTGACTTAAATTTAGGAGGTGTCATGTGAGGTTGTCGCATGAGGTGTTCAGATTATAATAAAAAAACAAATTACAGAATCTGTCAGTACTTCACGAGACGAATTTATTAAGCCTGATTAATCCGTCATTACCACATGTTTACTATAAAACCATATTGTCAAATCATGAACTAATTAGGCTTAAAAAATTCGTCTAGTAAATTAGCCACAAACTGTACAATTAGTTTTGTAATTAGTCTATATTTAGTACTCTATATATATATTTAAATATCTGATGGGACAGCAACTAAAGTCTAGAAGATAAACCAAACCATGGATCGATGACATTACATTGCCACAGCCTTAAATAAAGACATACTAGTTCGTCCAGAAGTCTTCACGGCTACCTCTATAAATGTGGGCAAACCGAGGTGCGAAGGCAACACGGCAAGCAGCTCATCGCGGGGAGCAGTGGAGAGCGGAGGCAGGGGCGAAGCCACCTTGAGTTTGGGTGGCGCACCGACACCGGGTAAGAAAAAATATTTAATACTAAGTAGCTTATTTTGATCATATAAATCAGTTGAAAGAGACATATTTCTATACTGCCGTTAACACTGTGCACCATCGTAAATTTAATACGCTTCGCCCCTGGCGGAGGTGTACCCGTGTAGGCACTCGATCAGTTGATCGGCGCTGGCCCATGGCGTGTAGGACGCTGGAGCTGACGCTGGTCTCCGCGAGGGACCTCCGTGCCGTCAACCTCGTCTCCAAGATGGAGGTCTACGCGGTGGCCTACCTAGCCGGCGACCCGCGGTCGCGGCAGCGCATCCCCACCGACCGCGCGGGCGGCCGCGACCCCACCTGGAACGCCACCGTCCTCCTCACCGTCCCGGCGTCGGGCACCGGGAGCGGCGCCGTCCGCGTCGTGCTGCGCACGGAGCGCGCGCTCGGCGGCGACCGCGACGTCGGCGAGGTGCTCCTCCCGCTCCCCGACGTCCTTGCTGGGGCCGGGGACACGCCCACGGACGCCACGGTCGCCTGCTTCCCGGTCCGCAGGATCGGCTCAAGCAAGCCCCAAGGCGTGCTTAACCTCTCTTACAAGCTTGGCGGTGTCGTCCACCCTGACCACCTTGCCGCCCGGACCGAGGGGGGACCCCCGCCGGTGCAGGCAGGCGATCAGAGTCCGACGATGGCGTACTTGGCTGCCGCGGCGACGGCGTACTCGGCTGCGCGGCCGCCACAGTGCTTGCCGCCTAGTACACCATACGCAGCGGCGTGTGTGGGTGCGAGTGCGACATCGACAAGCATGCGGAGCAGCCGGTGGAAGCTGCTTAATTAGCCGCTTGAATGACGAGTGCTGTGGTTGTTTACTTCATGTTCACCGATTGATGCATGTCGTGCAATATGGAATTAATGCAGGGTTATTGATGTATTGATAAGTAAAAAGCCATGTTAAATCTTCGGGACCTTCCTTTTAGTTCATCATACAAGCTATTATTGGCCATGTATGCCAGAACAACACCAATGGTCAAAATTTTGTAACTTATTAGCCACAAGAACGTGCAGCTGCATAGGCCAAAATCACGTCTGTTCATGTACATACAGACAGAAATAAATCCGGAAATTGTACTGCATATATAGTTTTCTCCATGGGCATTTTGGTGAACACACGCCACTACGCCAGCAAAGCACCATGTTTGATTCATCCGTCACCCTTGCGATTGGTCGGCAGTTCTGATGAGGAGCTGAACCAGCTCCAGTGGCTGCGAGAGCATAGCCATGTGGTCGGCTCCGGTGATCTCGCTGACCTCGACGCCGGGGCTATGTGCCACCATGCGGCGCTGGAACTCCGCCGGGATGCCGCGGTCTTCCTCCACCACGATGAACACGCGCCTCGCCGATCCGTACCCCTCCGTGACCAGCTTCTCGTCCCTCATCACCACCTCATCTGGGTTGCCTGTGGTGAATGCGTTCGCTGGCTTGATCAGCATCAGACATTCAGACCCAGAGTCAAGTCCTACAAGCAAAGAGACTTTTTTTCCCCTTTTATTTATGGTTAAGAAAAGGTAAAACAGCAGCAGCAAGGTTACAAATGGAGATTATGTCCATTATTATGTCTTTTAATTAAGGTGCTCATATTATTTGTTCCAAACAGCAACGTTAATTAAGTGTTACCTCCGGTGGACTCAGTTGGTAAAGCCTTTGAGACACAAAGTTGGGCCCAAAGATAAATGGCTTTCCCTTGATTTCGGGATTTTCTTGTTCGAGCTCCTTTGAGTCCAGGAAGAAGTCCGGTCCAACAAATGCTAATAGCTGAGAACAGTGTGAAAGCATAATCAAATAGTGGTAGCCATCGCCCTATACACACTAGCCGTTTGGCAGGGCTTCTCCACCGACTTCAGAGCCGTTTGGAGCCGTTTTTCTGTCAAATGGGGTAAAGTGAAATAGCTTCACTGGTGAAACCCCTAAAAACATGCTCTCACAGTGATTTTGGATGGGATGGAGCCAAAAAAAGTGACTTCTCCTGGCTCCTCCTCTAGGCCCCTAAAAACATGCTCTCACAGGGAAGCTATTTTGCCAAATAATTTACCAAAACCGCTTCAGCTCCACCAAACGGGGCACACTAAACAGAGCTGAAGCAAAAAAAAAATAGCTTCACTAGTGAAGTGAAGCTCTGCCAAACGGGGCACACTAAACCATGGATTCATTTGATTCATTGAATTTCGCGCACCTCTTCACTGGTGGCAGCCATAGGACGTCCAACGGCCGGCATGGACGCGGCCACGAACACCGCAGCGGCAACCTTGCTCGGAAACCTCTCGACGACGAGCGCGACACTGTACCCACCGTGGCTGTGCGCGACGAGCGCGACCTGCTCCCCGGCCGGCAGCGCGGCCATCGCGTCGAGCAGCGGGCGTGAGTACTCCTCGAACGTGCGCACGTCGGCGAGACGGGCTGGGTGCGCGCCGCAGCCGGCCATGTTGAGCGCCGTGGCGCAGTGGCCGGCGCGCCGCAACGCCGTGGCCGCCTTGTACCAGCACCACGAGCCGTGGCACATCCCGTGCACCAGCATGAAGTGGTGGCGCCGCTGATTGGCGTCGGGGGCGGCCATTGCCGTGCAGGGTTCTTGGCTTGCACCTTGCAGGGCACAGTAGATGTAATGAAATATTGCTTGTTCCGAACGAGGACCACAGTGGTGATTAAATCCAGTGGACAATATGGTGCTACAGTAAACATGTGTTAATGATAGATCAATTAGGCTTAATAGATTCGTCTCGTTAGCCTCAGCTTCTACGATTATAGTTTTATAATTAGCTCATGTTTAGTCCTCTTAATTAACATCCAAACATCGTAACAAGGGCTAAACTTTAGCCCAAATGATCCAAAACACCCCCTCAATTCTGATTTACGCTCTTTTCTAAGCATCTCCAAGAGTTTATAATAATTTCTTTCTAAAATCATGGTATTTTTCAACTCGCCAAAAAGTATTGGAGGAATAAATGAGATCATCTCCAATAGTTTTCGGTAATTCACTCCTAAAATATAAAAATTTTAATCCCACAGATAGTTTTCTTCGTGACAGTATTTTTTCCGCACAAGATCGATAGGGCCATCGCATCTATGTTGTCGCCGCCCCCTTGCATGCTTCTGCCGACCCCTAACAGACTTGGTCGGCGGCAACCAGCCACCAGGGCACCCCTGCTCGCTGCAGCCACTCCCAGCCGGCCGCCAAGGGCGTGTTTGATAATGAGCCTCTGGCCAGCCTAGCCGGCTGGCCTGGCTATGGCCAGCCCGAGTCAGGTCCAAGTAGTGCAAGTGACCGTGTTTGATTGTCGAGCCCTGCGAAGCCGAGTCCAAACGAGAACGTGTTTGTTTCCTTATACAGAAGAAGTGTGGCTACCTTGCACAGGATTGTGGTAGCCTTACCACCAGAGAAGTCCTCACTGGCATTTCATCGAGCAGTTGATGGGCGGCGGTGGAGGGGCTGGAGCTGCACAAGTGAGGGACGAGGGGCAAGAGGACGAGGACGACGCCTTCACACTCAGTGACCATGGCGAGGGACGAGCGGGACGTGAGCGCGATGGTGCCGATGACGATGGTGAGGGACGAGGAGCCGGGTCGTCGGCAGTGGGGAGGCATGGCTGCCGCATCGGCCAAGCCGTGTCACGGTACGCCACCGCACCGGGCAGCCCATCGCACCGGGGGCCGCTCGCCGCGCGCCATATGGAGTTCGCCGGAGACCGCTCGCCATGGAGTTTGCCGCGCGCCATGGAGTTCGTCGGGGGCAGGCTCCACTGCTTCAGACTTGGGCGGCTCTGTGCACTACTAGAAATATCCACTTCAATGACGAAAATTTTAATGATGAATCCGAAATCGTCATAGAAGAGAGCTTTTTATCACGAATATTTTCATTTCGTCATAGATCAGTGGTGATGATCCTCCAACCCTCCCTATCTATGATGAAATCAGGCATTGTCACAAAAAAAATGTCATAGAATAGCACAAGGTTTCATCACAGATCACTCACGTGACTCATCTGTGATGATCCTCTTTAGAACTGTGATGACCAGGGCTTCATCATTGAACAAATTACACATCTATGATGAAGTTTTCGATCTATAACAAATGGCACTTCATCATAAATATCCACACTGTCCTTTCTCCATCTGACATGTTCCTGTGGAACCTGCAGTTATTCATTCGTGACGCTTGCAATTCGTTATAAAGTCTCCCGCTCGGTCCTTTCTCCATCCGACGTGTACCTGTGGGACCTACAGTTACTCATCCGTGATGCTTGCAATTCATCATAAAAGTCTCCGCTCGGTCCTTTCTCTAATCGACGTGTACCTACGGGACCTTTCTCCATCCGACCAGTGGGACCTGATGGCTTACATGTCACGTGTACCTGTGGAACTGTTCTCCATCTCCATCCGACCTGTGGGACCCGCCGGTTTGCGTGTCACGTGTACCTGTGGGACCATCCGACCTTTGGGACCCGACGGCTTACGTGTCATGTGTACATATGGGACCTTTTTCCATATCCATCCGACCCGTGGGACCCGACGGCTTGCGTGTCACTTGTTACCGCCGGGGTTGAATAAATTCAAACTTAAAAAAACATGAGACCTAGGAGTCGACCCGGGACCCAGATCAAGGAATAGACCGTCTTCACCATTGCGCTAGATGCCTGGTCATGTTGACATGTGTTTGGAGTCCTAATAGTAGTATATGTTCTCTGTGGACAGGTTGACTTGTATATTGGATGTATCCCTTGCAAGTGAAAACAAATCTGTGCTTGTTGAACTTGCGGTGGTGGCGATAGTGGAGGATCCCTGATGTGCTGTGGTGGCTCAAATGTCCTTTTGGAGGCTAAGCGGTGGGTCTTCTCGGTGGAGCACGACAGCATTGGCGTCCATGTCTGTCATGTGCCGCGGCAGAGGCGACAGATTCGATCCGCAGGTCTTCTTTCTCGCCTTTTCCTGTTTGCTTCACTGTTTTGGTCCTTGCTTGAACATGAGGTATACAAGAAACATTGTAGCATTACAGATCTGGTTAGCCCAATGCTGATGAAAAGAACTAGGAGGTGGCACTGGTTGGTTTTCTGCTGGTGTCTTGGTTTTCTGCATATGTTTAGTATTCTTACTGTAAATGCCTATGTGCAACTAGGCCTGTTAATTGTCAAGTGCGTGTTTGATTATACCTATCTATCTAGGCAAATATACAAGCCCTTCGCTTCTGCCTTAAACTATTTTTTTGGCCCAGTGCTTGCTTGATTCTACATTTCTATTTCATATGCGCCAGTGCCACTAGTGAGTCCTTATGGTATTTTGAACTTGTAACAAATCTGAGGCCACATTTCTGTACCAATGATGTCTACATGGTTGTTGGATGTATTAGGATACATCTCATATGTTTGCTTTCTATGTCTTCTCCTTGTTGACAACCAAGTTATCCATTTGGTTCCAAACAAGAGGAAGGCATTGAAAGCAAATCAGTGCTTTGTGTCCATCATTCACATCACTGAGGCCAATAATATTTATGCTGCACATGTTGCTACTAATGCCAATGATGATCACTACCACTTGTTCACTGATATTCTACTTGTGAAAACTAAGGACGCTCAATTAACTGCTGAAATTGTAATGGTTACAGCTCCATTAACTGCTAATCTAGTATGAGTTATATATATCTATGTGGTGCTACTCTCAATTTACATGAGGTCGTACCATGAAAGTTGTTAATGGTTGTTAAAGTTGCTCTTTGGTATGAGTTGTGGACTTCACTAATGGATCTTTGTTGGATTATTTTCCTCTTCAGTGATCTCATTACTGAGGAAGCTCTCATCGTACTACACACTGTTGAAATGGAGGAGGCCCCCAACAAGAGGAACGCACTGGCTAGCCTCACGGAGGATGTCGTTTTTGAGATCCTCCGCCGCCTCCCCGCCCGCTCCTTGTTCTGCTACAAATGTGTCTGTCGCTCTTGGAGAAACCTCATCTCGGACTCCAACAACCATAAGAATCTGCCCCAGACTATGGCCGACTTCTTCTATGACAGTGAGGACAGCGATCAACACTTCACCAGCGTCCATAGTGTATGCTCTCCCTCCTTGGAATTCTTGCCCTTCAACATTGACAATGTAGTTGTCTTAGATTGCTGCAATGGCCTCATCCTATGCTGGTGCTTTGGGGCTGATGTATGCCGCTATGTCGTCTACAATCCAATGACCTAGAAGTTTAATATACTACTGCCTAGCACCCATGATGTTGTCCATTCTGTTGGTGAGGCTCACTTGGGGTTCGATCCGATAGCCTCCTCACACTTCCATGTGTTTGAATATGTGGATGTCGATGTTGTGTGCGCAGGTGTGGAGACCTACTCATCTAAAACTGCAGCATAGATCTATAAGGAATCTGAATGGAGCGAGCATACTAATGTGACATTTTATAGATCGCCAAGTGTGTTTCTTAATGGTTGTCTGCACATTATGGAGCGCTTTGGGCAGTACTCTATGATACTTGTTGTGGATATGAAGGGAAACTCATGGAGGAAAATTGATAGGCCTAGTAGTCTTCAATAGTCCGTGCATCAAGCTTAGGGTCACTTGTGTGTATGTATTGCTGCTGGTTCCAATAATTCCAAGCTTTTAATCTGGATCCTTGAACACTATGATACTAATAATTGGACAATGAAGCATACGGTCAGCACGCGGATCCTATTTAGAAGGATTAATATTAGATTTGGTTACATGGATTGTGTTTACGAGTACACAGTGATTACAATTCACCTAGAATGGAATTTGATTTTTTTAC